TTCGGAATCTCGGTTTCTTTGAAACTGTGAACTGTAAAAATACCCTCTTCATCAGATGCACTTTTTTCCTCTCTGCCCACATAATACGATCTCTGTCCTCCTTTTGTCACTGCTCTCTTATGTCTTTCTCCCCCTTGAAAGTTTGTGTCTCTGCTGGAACTTTTTGATTTGCAGACTTTCATTATGTGCCCTTGTTTCCCACATTGGTGACATTTCTCAGAAACAAATCTACACTCATTGGCCAAATGTTGCAAACTTCCACATCTATAACATGCTCTGCCTTGACTTTCTTCTTGCTTCACTGATGTTTTATGCACTCTCATGGACATGGATGTTTCTGAGCGTTTAACTTGCAAATCCCTTACATCCTTATTGGCCGTTTCCATTGCTTGAGCTACTTTCAAAGCCTTTTCAAAAGTTAGATCCGCTTCTGCCAACAGTCTACGTTGAATCCGATCATCATTTATGCCACATATCAGTCTATCCCGAAGCATTTCTGTCAACTTTTCTCCATAGTTACAATCATGAGCCAATTTCCTCAATACTGCTACATATTCAAGTACAGTTTCCCCCTCTTCTCTTGACCTTGAATTGAATTTAAACCGTTGCACAATTTCACTAGGTTTTGGGTTGAAGTGCTCTTTAAGCAAATCTACTAATTCACCAAATGTCTTTGTTCCTGGTTTAACTGGGCTCAGCAAATTCCTCAGTAGACTGTATGTTTGACTTCCTACAGTGCTCAACAATATAGCTCTTTGTTTGTCTGCTTCTGTAATTTCATTTGCCTCGAAGAAATGCTGCAAGATCTCACAATATTCCTCCCAAGACTGAGATTGACTATCAAAAGGTGAGACTGTTCCTACCATGTTGGCCATCTTCTTTTCCCAAGCTCCAACTTGTATGGAATAAACTTATTCACCTTCCAACACTTTTTTTCCTCTTCAAGGCGTTTCTTTCCTTGCTTTCATCCTTGTCGCCAAAATGTAATAACTTGCAGGAGACAAATCTGTTCAATGCAGTTCATTTACTCAAAGCACATCAAGCCAGCAGTACACTTGAGCACAGTCCAGGTGGAACACATGTCTGCTAACAGTTTCTTCTTTGCTACTCTTAAGCACAAAGCCAAAATACATTAGATTGCCCCCTACAGGTTAATCTACAAAAACTCACTCTACAACAATGTATGCGGCGAAACACATCTGCTTTTTCCTCTAGATCACTTTACTGTGTGATGAAAATAAACTTTTCTTAAAGCGTGTTGTAGCTACATGACCACATTGCACGCTTCGTTGTATACCGTAATAGACAATTGTCCTGCAAAATGAAGAGGTTTTTGAAGGAAAAAAAAATTGAGAGCAAATGTCAAATTGTTTTATTTATTTTATTTAAACCAACAAGATGAGGCGTTTAGGCATCTGATGAAATGTATGAACAAACACCCAGCTTTGCAATATACGTAGGTAGGCTAGGTGGCGTTTAGATGTACATTCAGGACGATAGACTGGTCAGGTAACACAGTCTCATCCCAAAAAGTCATATAACTGACGTCTTGGGACGTTTTTTGACCGTACGTCAATATCCGCCTTTTTAGGGCCCCCTTAAATGTCGGTAGATGGCGATCCCGGGCCGTCATACAACTGACGCTTTACCTTTAACGTCAGTTAGGTGACGGGTTAGGTTTAGGGTTAAGTTTAGGTCTGGGGTAGAGTTAGGATCCCATAACCTCATCTACCGACATTTAAGGTGGCCCTAAAAAGGCGAATATTGACGTATGGTCAAAAGACATCCCAAAACGTCAGTTATATGACGTCTTGGGATGAGACCGGGTTGGGTCAGGACACACAGTCTAATACGAAAAACAAAACATAAAAAAACCCCAAAAAACTCGGTAGTCGTGGTGGCAAGTCACAACAATATATTTGTATTTGAATACCATATGAATAAAAATATATAAATAATAATAATAATGAATATATATGTTGGCAGACATTCATGTCTGAAGTAAAGATTTCTGTGAAACGTGTTAAGTTGCACAGAAGAAAGCCCAATATGACCTGCCCTGTACAGTTTAAGAATCGGTAACCATATAGAGGACTATTTTTTTATTTTATTTTTTAGGACTATTATTTTTTTATTTATTTATTTTTTATTTTTTTTATTATTCAAAAATTGCTTTGCAATAGTGCAAACAGGACTATTATTTTGTTGAACAGACCGGAGCGACGGCTGATGACGTTACATGCTCAGATTTGCTTGACCAATCGGCGGAAGGGGCGTTTCAGGACCGCCCACGTGTTGAAAACGAATTTAAGTCATTTATTAGTTTTTTTGTCTTTGAACTAAAAAACGAATAAACGAGCCATTTTCTCGTTTCTGCTTATTTCGTTTCAAACTGGAAAACAAACTATCAAAACGTACAGATATAGCCCCACCCACAGGGGAAAATTGGAATATCAAGGTGTTTTTCTGATTTCTGTGCAAGAACGGGAAAACCAAACATCAAGTCATAATTTCGTTTTTTTGTTTTTCAGAAAAAACAAAAAAGAAGTTGTTTTCTCGTTTTTTCGTTTTCATACCTATATGAAAGCAAAAACAAATGAACGAACGGTCCGTGTACCTTCGGATAATTTGTTTTTTCCTTTTTGATTGAAAAACGGAAAAATGAAGAAACCGTTAGTTGCATATTCAAACCAAGCGTGCCGCACAAGCCCTCAAAAGTGAAGCCAAAACGTCTCGATCGCCCCCCTGTGACCGGTCCTAGTATAGCTCATAAATCCCGCCTCCCCATGTTATTCAATGGGACGCGAGACCAACTAAACAATTAAATTACACTTCACATATCCTTTTTCCAAAGATAGTTTCTGTCATTTACTGTAGTTTCTATCACGTTGATGTAATTTCAAGTGTTCGTTTTTAAAATAAGTTTGTTTTTAGTTAGTTATGTGATGATAAAAACGGTGCTCTGACATCATGATTGACAGCTGTGATTGACAGGTTCTCTGTGCGAGGTAGACACTGAAGCACCAGCAGACTTTTTTCATAACGTTGATTATGTGGTTAGTAGTTGTATTTACCTTATTTTAACGAGGTTCTGCAATCAGCAGACAACATTGGAGAAGAACGAAGCAGACAGAGGACACTTAATGAAAGTGCGGGGCGTGTGCTTACGTTTGATTCAGCACGAAGGAGGGCGCGGCCTTGATTTCGCGGCTTTACTTCCTGCTCACGACTGCGCATGACTGGTCCCGAAACACGCAAGTGCGCAGACTCAGGTCCCAAGATGTCAGCGTCATATCGAGACACTGGCGGCTACAGTTCTCTCCGATGGAAAAGAGCGGAGGGGCGTCGTCCATCTTTTTTTACAGTCTATGATTCAAACCTTCTCGTGGACATAAAAAACGAGTTTCAGTTTCCTTTATTTATATATTTTTTTACACATTTTTACACATCACACATTGCTCTGATGCATCAAATGAAAAAACACTAAAACCAAAAACGAAAAATGAAGGTTTTTAATGCACAAAGCGCGTATTAGTTCACCGGAAAAATCCGCGCACCGCGCACGCGCTCAATTAGGCTTCACTTCATCTAATCACCTCCACGTGCGAATAATGGATACCCAGACAGCAAACTGACATTGAATCAACGTGGAAACGACGTCTCTCATGACATTGAAACAACGTTGATTTGCTCATCGAATTAACGTTGAACCAACGTCAGACGCGGCATTCTTCAAAGCTAAATGAAATCGAAAATTGGTTTGCTTTCATAACGTTGAAACAACGCGTTGATTTCAAGTTGATTTTCCGTTAGTTTTGAAAGAATGATGCATCTGACGTTGGTTCAACGTTAATTCGATGAGCAAAACAATGTCAGATCAACGTTGTTTCGATGTCATATTTCCACGTTGATTCAATGTCAGTTTGCTATCTGGGTACATACGTGCTTTTTCACGGAAACAAAAGAGTCACTCTCAAAGAAGAAAAAATTTTGCGCATATTTCTGGTAGGTTTGCAAGACTCACAGAAAGATAATTTTAAAGGTGGTTAAATAAGTTTTACCACTGTCACTGTGGCAATAAGCTAAGTTAACTAGGCCAACAATGCTATTTCTTTTCTTTCCCGGAGTTCAACAACCGTAATCAAACACACCTGCCTGTAATAATAATCCTGAAGAGCTTGATTAGACGGTTCCGATTTTTTGATAAAGGTGAACTGAACTCTGCTGGTCATGGCCCGCTAGCAACGAAATTGAATAGTCCAAAACGAGTAGTTTGGTCTTAATAAACCACCGATTAGCATGTGAGTAAGAAGAACACATTTAGAGCCATACATGGATTGTAACATTTGCTAATGTTTGTACGAATTCTACTAAAGATTTTTAGGTTTGCTTCCATGTTTTTTTTTTATCTATAAAAGTTTTGAAATGTGATTCGTCAGTAAATGTAAAACCTCTGTGCAACATCACTTCCTGTATCTCATCCTTAAGTTATTAATAAGTTGTGGAACATATGGGCTGGTATTTGTTCTATCCTAGTGTTTCTCATGCCATTTAGCAGTGCTCTTTTTTCTTTTATGGCACATTTTTTTCAGTTGTAAGAGTAGGCTACTATGTCAGGTATGTTTTATATGGGAGACATAAAAAACAACAAACACACCTTTACATAATGCTTCCTGATGAGCTCATTTGTAGTCTAAAATAGATGTGGCATAGGGAAACATGTGCAGTGCTACAGTCAAGGACCAAGCATGAGAAGCACTGGCATAGAACATATGCCAGCCCATATTTTTTTTAATGATACAAGTAAAATTAGGGTGAGAGAAACATTTTAAGTTGGTGTTGCACAGATGTTTTACATTTTCCATCATATTACTTTACAGAACTGTTATAGTTGCAACATTGCTTGCTACATAACTTGATTAAACTGAATTCAACTGAAATGTCTGGCTTTGAAATGACATACTATTTTACTTGGCTAATATTTTTTTTTTCTGGTGTAGGTCAGCAGTGACAGTCTCTATTTGACTGATGATACAAATGTTGCAATCTTTCCCAATGCTGAAGGGTCTTTCAGCTCGTTGGACTTGACATTACGGGCTCATTATGAAGTCCATGGTGACCCAATTGAGATGCCGCAAAACACCCCATCAACTTCACCATTTGCTTCAATACCAGTTCAGCGACATTTCTCTTTCACAAGACCAGCATCATCTGGATCTGTTCTCACTACAACGCCCCGGGCAAGCCGAAGTTGGACAAGGTTTGAAAACCTTTTTATTTATTAGTTTATATTATTGCACTTAACTGAGTGTTTTTTTTTTTTTTTTTTTTTTTGTACAGTGTAAATCCTAATAGAGAGTGTTGTTAAATCTGTTTCCAAATTTCAGAGCAATAAATATTGCAGAAGTGCAAGATGGCAAACCAGTTCCCAAAAGTGTCGTGGTGGTAAGGTTTACTGAAGCTGAGGCTAGTGTTACAGGCATTGTTCAGAAACTTCAAGCTGACCTAAGGGCTGCAGAATCTCCTGTGTTGCTGGATTCAAACTGGAACGAAATAATGGATTCAGAAGGAACACGCGGTAACAACTCTCATGATTTGTATTTTATTGTCATTTGTTTAGTAATTCTGTTACTGACCTAGTGTCCATTGTGTGTACTGTTTGTGTTAAGGTTCCCAGTATTGGAGACAAACCTCTAGAAAAATTAACGCAATGCTCATTAGCCATTTTTCCAGGCTTCAACACAGACGAAAAAGGATGAGGTGATTGATATTATTTTATTGGATCTATTAAGTTTATTTTAATTTTGCTTATCTATCCTTAATCAGGTGTGTTGGAGGTGACGTGCAAAATGTGCAGTGTTGGTGGGCATCCAGGAATGTGGTCGGGAACCACTGATGTGTGTGTGTGTGTGTGTGTGTGTGTGTGTGTGTGTGTGTGTGTGTGTGTGTGTGTGGGTCTGTGTAGGGAAGAAGACTCTGGATTGCAGGACATTTTGGAAAAGATTGAGGAGGTGTTGGAGGCATCTCAAGGTCTGGAGAGTGTTGCTGTCAGACTCTGGGAGCTCACGACACTGGCCACAAGAGACAGAAACCAAGTCAACATGCATCAGGCATCACAGCTCACCTTCACTTGCCTTGTTTGTAGAGGTATGAGACCCCAAGGGTCTGATGTATCAACTTCACAGTTTACCACACACTTAAAGGGATAGTTCACCCAAAAACTAACATTTTCCCAAGCTTTATTCACCAGCAAGCCATCCTTGGTGTATATGACTATCTTTTAGATGAACAGATAAAACAAATATCCTTAGTCCTTATGGTTTATGGTTATTAGGTTTATAATAGTTATGAATGACAGCCCAAATGTTTTAAAGGAGGATCTGTTTTATCTTCAAAATTTTGGCTGCGATTCACAAACATTATAAAACTTGGAGGACTAAGTATATTATTAAATGTACAGTATGTCTGATTGTGTTCGTCTGAAAAAAGATAGTCATAAACCTAGGATGGAGTAAATCATGACAATTTTTATTTTTGGGCAAACTATCCTTTAAAGGGTTTATGAAAAATAACTTGCCAAATGTATGTGCATTATTCACACACCCTGGACTCCACTACACCTTTTCTTTTTATGGATATGTGTATGAATGTGTGACTCCAAATGGCTAAGCAATGAACTGGGCAAAACTGAACAACTCTTTATTTACCAGCTTTTCTTTTACTTGGTTTTACTAAAGAATGAATAGTACTTAAATATTTTTGTTTTGCAATCAGCATACTCCAGTATACCTCAACATGCTAAAATGTAGGCAACAAAAAATGTTGATGACATAATTTTAATGCATATCCTCCATGCTTTTACAGACATCATCAGTGAGCCAATGCTGTCCGAATGTTGCCGGAGCATCATTGGGTGTAGAGCTTGCATTGAAGAATGGGCATTAACATCAAACCAATGCTTAAAGTGCAGGTCTGAGTTCTCTGTGCTAAACATCATCAGGGTGGCTGGTCTGTCAACTGTTCTAGATGTTGTGAAAGAGCTAGCTTGAAATGTGTTGTACTTCTCTGAAGAAGGTTTTTTTTATTTTTTTATAGACATGGTATTCTAGGTTGTGAAATTGCACACAAATGTAATATCATTATCTAAAATTTTTTTTTCCTTATATGGAGCATGTTAAATTGTTCCCGAGTGTGAAATTACATACATTCTAAATCCTTAACTACAGGTTTTTTTTTTTTTTTTTTGAGTTTATAAAATAACACTTCAGTACTACAGTGTTTCAGGTTGTATAATTTCAGGTAAAAAGTATTATCCCAATTTCTAGATACTGTTGTTGTACTAGAATTGGTAAGGTGTTTGTTTTCCAGGGAAGTTCCAAGTTGTGAAATCTTGCATATTCACAGAGCTGTGCAAATATTCCAAATTCCTTTTAAGATGTTTTATTTGTCTTCCCTCATTGGTATAAAAATTGCATTTAACATTGTTCAATGAATGTGTTCTAATAAACATTTTGTTCAAACTAGTACTTGATAAACTTTAATTTGGTCAAATTACAATTACTGGTTGTACAAATCTTAACAAAAAATAGAAATGTTCATTAAGACTTAATTCACTAAATTTGGTTCACAAAATGAGACCAACAAACTTATTTAAAGATATGATCAATAATAAATGAAATTGCATCTTCACAATGTAGATACGCCACCTTTAAGGATTTGAATATTGGTGCGTAATGTTAATAAGGCACATAATAGCTTCCTGAAAATGTCTGTAATTGTTGTTAATTACATTGTTGTAGAGGACAGATAGGTCAGGAAACTGATCAATAAAGGATTGCTCTGCATATGCACAGTCCTCTTCTGTTAAGAAAGGGTAGATGCTGAATGTTGTTGGTGTGGTCAGTGAGGATCCCATTTCTTGTAAGTACATGTTTGCAGCGACTATGGACTTGGGTAGCAGGTCTTCACTTAACTTTTTGAAGCAACCGCCTTCTCCCAAGGAATTTGGGACACCTCTCCCTGCAAAAAAAATTATTGTTTTTAGTTTGTTTCTCAAAAAAAACAAAAAAAAAAAAAAACTGGTTGCTATTAAGAATACCTGGATTTCTGTGGGCATTCCACGAGTCCACTACTCTTCCTACACCAATACGGCCTATCTGGCATGTGAGATCAGACACACAGTAGCGAGTGGTGGGGTCCTCCATGTCAATCATTTCCTGGTCAGTCAGCTGAATCAAAGCCTCCTTAATAGGGTAATTGACCCGGTTGTTTATCTCCGGCCACATTCGCTCTGTAAAAAGGGCCACGAAATCGACCCAAATTGAGGAATTCGATTCGTGGTGAAGGTTTCAAGCGCGTTCCGTCTTTTCCAAGCAAAGTGTTTTTTAATTAAATGCAACACATTTAATCTTATGTATTAACTCGTTTCATCTGACTCCATAAAATGAAAAGGGTTTATGAATGATATCTGTGCATCATTAAATATGTTAATGCTTGACTATTACTTTTAACTTAATGAAAATAAAGTCAAAGTCTGTTAGAATAGCCAAATATAACAATTTATTATGTCAGGTAAATGTATAGAATTCCACAAGATAATCAGAGCAAACCATCAAATGTTTTAGAACAAAGAACTTTACCCAACATATTAGGCGACATGAGCTGAGCCCCGAAGAGACACAACATCATGGGCTGATCTGAATACAGAAAGGCAGCCCCGAACTCTTGTTACATCTCCCTTTATAATCAGAACTCACCTGATATGTAAATCACCAGGATACAATGGAAAGTTACTGAATCCCCCTTCCATGTTTATCGGGGGCAGACGCTGCAACGTGATCTCATGAGAATACGTATGTATTTATACGTAAAGTGTCGTTCTATCATACGTATATATAATTACGTTTTATATGCGCAGAAACGTATAATACTGACGTATTTACAGTACTAAAACGTAAAATATTTACGTATTGACAGCACAAAAACGTAATTTATTTACGTATGAACAAATCTACCGACGTACACATTGTACGTATCACAATTTATGCATATTAATATCGTAGCAGCATTATGTTTTGACTCTGTTGCATTCCACTGTCTTATTAATGAAGTTTTCAGTCGCATTTATTGATATAATACTCATAAATATGAACATTTTGCTCGTTTCGCCTACATGTTGTTAAACAATACACAATAAAACCTTAAAAATACAGTCTTTAACGTTAGCTACTCGTTCAACCATTTTGTAATAGTTTATTTACCTTGAGACACATAAAGCGTTTTCTCCTATAAAACACAACAAAAAATCACAAAAGACATCAATTTGATTAGTTTGATGTAATCCAAATCTTTAGAATCCATAGTTGTTTGTAAGAAACAACTCCTAATTCAGCCTCTTATCCAGTCGTGATCTCTCCATTCTCAGCAGCGACCGTACATGTCAAACCCGGCGCTGATGAATTCAAATTCAAAAATTGCGCCCTTGAGAAGCGATACGTCATGTTTTACGGCAGTGATATCAAACGTTCATTGGCTCTTCCCTGCTTCGTCACAGTTTGTGACATGAAGGACTGTGCCGGTTGGTTAGTTTAGTTCATTTGAATTTTGAAATGGAGAAGCGCGAACCGAAGCCGGATTAACATTTTCATTATTTAATTTCTGCTCTGTACTTCATACAAAACTATTACAATACTGCCAGAGACAGAGAGAAGACTGCGACTGCAACGCTTCATCATGTGAACGGCTTTTGGTATCGGTTTTGACATTTTTGCAATAAATAAATTATTGTGATTATACTTGTCTGTTAGTTATGTTTTTCTTAATAATTGTAGTTTGTTACGTAGTTTTAAGGAATTGTTATGGGTAACGTTAGGTTTAGGGGTAGGATTCCCAGACAGCAAACTGACATTGAATCAACGTGGAAACGACGTCTCTCATGACATTGAAACAACGTTGATTTGCTCATCGAATTAACGTTGAACCAACGTCAGACGCGGCATTCTTCAAAGCTAAATGAAATCGAAAATTGGTTTGCTTTCATAACGTTGAAACAACGCGTTGATTTCAAGTTGATTTTCCGTTAGTTTTGAAAGAATGATGCATCTGACGTTGGTTCAACGTTAATTCGATGAGCAAAACAATGTCAGATCAACGTTGTTTCGATGTCATATTTCCACGTTGATTCAATGTCAGTTTGCTATCTGGGTTGGTGGCTCAAAATATATTTTAATGTTATATTGTTATTAAAACTACCCTTTCCCAACACCTGTCCGTTACGTTTTATCCTTTTTTTATATTAAGTATAAAATGGGTATGTTTAGGTTTGGGATTAGGGTTACGGGATCTTACATTTATGTATAAAATGGTAAAAAGGGAAATTATACAGATATCTTTATGATATAGAATATACGTAAATAGTTTACGTTTTGTAGCTGTAAAAACGTAATAATGTTACGTTTAAATGTTGCAGATACGTCTATATTATACGTTTCAGCACCTATCCAAACGTACTAAAAAGTACGTTTTTTATCTTTGCAAAAACGTAAAATACCTACGTATTAACAATGAGACCAGGCTGGACCATTTGCTTGGTTGTAATTTGCATTCAGACAACAAGGCAGAAGGTGTTAACTCAAAGACCACACTCCTTTGTGTGACAGTGATTCCTAAACTTCTTAAAAACCTTATTACCTTTTCTTTTATTACTTTGGGAATGAGACATTATTACCAGTCACCCTGAGACCATCAAAATGATTCTAAACAATCCTTAAAGATTATCAGATTCACATTAAAACCATATTCTTGTGTGAGCTTTCAGTATCATTGACTGAGAGAGTGAAAGAGAGAAGATGCAGATAAGATGTTCAGAGAATAGGGGGTAGGGTGTCAAATGTTAATTTGCAAGCAATGCCTTTTGTCTTTAGAGGCCACTGGTCAGATATTTTCTCTTTAACCAGTTTTTCCAGTCTTACAGCTCGATCCTGTGGTTCTGATTTAAAACTTAAAATTATAATCTTGCAGTCCATCACTTTTATGCATACTGAAAATATGAATCAAAAACATTAACTTATAGAGGGCCTACCACAGGTTCCAAACAATTGATTAATTAGGATTATAAAAAACTTTTTTTTTTTAACTACTCACCTTTGTTGAAGGTGTCTGCTTGTAAGGCTCCCTTACTGTGTTATATCTATGTGCAGCTAGGATCTCTTGCATAAAGAGACATAGATAAAATTCTTTCCCAGAGTCTACACGTACTTGGTCCCAGATTCCATTGGTCAGAACAGCTGGTCTGAAATACAATAAGGAAAGCGTTCTTAAAAATTGCTCATATCAGCATACATCTATTAGTTGAGCTGAATGACTATCAAACAAACACATTTAACACCAGAACTCAACTAGTATTTAATTTAATGATTTCTTATTACAGAGGTTTTTCCAACTAACCTGTACACCTCATCATAGATAGTAAGGTTGTTCTTGATGGGCATGGTTGCATGCCCAACAATTTTGAAGCTGTACCCATCAACTGCCACCACATGCGTAGCTCCAAACATTACGAGTTTCTCGTTTTGGTCAATATGTAATTTGTGACCAAAATACTCAGCATTGTAAGGAACTGGGTTTAAGTTTCGTGCACCCTGGGAATTGAAATGGTAATAAATGTATGAGTTTACTAGTTGATTAAGGTTAACAATGTAACATACAAATATGTTGTCTATTCAGTTTAATTGTGCAGCCTTTGATAAGTATTGAATTAATTCCTGATACCCCAATTTTACTATACATATAAACACTGCATACATTATAACACAATTCAATTGAAAAGACAGACACAACACTTTGTGAAATAAGCACCTGTAAACGAGCTTGGTGGTAAGGTTGATGGACATGCCTCAGTGCTGATCCAACGCGGCGTTCTGCAACGCAGAGTCCCTTTGAGGCAAGGTAACCCGTCATCATTTTTCGGAGATGGTCCTCACTGCGGAACATGAAATCCATGGGGAGGAGTCGGATCCAGATCCAACTCCTCCCACCTTACATACACCTAAACCTAACCAACTCCGCCCCCTGATCCCTAAACCCACCCTAATCCCTAAACCCAACCCTAATCCTACCCATCTCCACCCCTTGGATCGTGATCCGACTCCTCCCCGTGGATCTCGGTTCTGCATTGAGGTGCTACTGATTTTTCGGCCAAAAGACGGTCCAGTCTGTACGAAATAATAATTAATAATTAAACTGGACATTTCAAATTACAGGCGGAGTAGCCTACACGTCCCTTAGTAGTAGCAGCAGCAGCAGCAGCAGAATTATAAAAAAATAAACTCACCTCTCGAATAGCACTGGCCACTGCCACTTCCAAATGATCATCCGACAAATGCCCTCTCTTTACAAAGTTGCGGTCGCCAAGGAACTTCTTTATGCTGGCCAATCGGTATGGTTACCGATTCTTAAACTGTACAGGGCAGGTCATATTGGGCTTTCTTCTGTGCAACTTAACGCGTTTCACAGAAATCTTTACTTCAGACATGAATGTCTGCCAACAGCCCGTTCTGTTTGGTAAAGCGCTTGACAGCGGCGAACCAGTCAGAACTTTTTTTAGACAGTAAACTCCGTTTAGACACGGGATTGTGATAGCAAATATTGTCGCCTGAGGGTGGGCACCGACGATGGTGAAATACATTTCCACTGAAACTACTGTAATCATAGCCGCGACCCGCGATGA